TTCATGTTCGTCAACACGCTGTCCGGGCCTTGGCATCGGCATCGCCAGCGAATCATGAAAATCTCGCTCAAGGCCGGAAATATCTTCTTCCCATCTGCAGCAGAATAATGTGATTAAATTTTAATATTCAGATCCAAACCATTAAAATCAATATGAAATCACAAAATTTACTGGTGTCGCGGTCATGAATTACTTTCTGACAAAACTTACTTTAGAAGACGAATTCTTTACTATTATGCATCAGTCACAGATAAAAGGACGGGAGATTAACTGTCAGTATTGACACCTGAAAAACGTGGGCGAAACTAATTTCGTTGAGTTGTCTATGCCGTGATAGAGGAATTACGATTTAATGATAAGACGGATTTAAAAATCTGACAGTGCCTCTTAACTGATATCAGAAAACGACCAGGAAACTTTATCCTTCCATAATTTTAGTCTTCAAGATCTGAGTAATCAAACTAAAGAAATAATTCTTTCAAGACGTAAACCCTTATGTGGCAATCTTACTGAATATAAGGTAGCAATGCTTATTATTTTCATTGTGCTAGTGACTTTAGGTCGTCTGGTTGGCTGTACTGACCATGGAGCCTCATAGGTAAACCACCTAATGGAGCGTGTGGCTTGCTTTCTTCCTCATTTTCGGACTATATAGCTAAGTCGTAGGAGAATCACACACGTACATATGGGAAGATCCCTTGAATCATAACCACCTCTTGCTGACTGAGCCTATCTCTATCCCTACCTCATCTCTATGTTAAGCATTTAGTCTGAAAGTAAGGACAAATGGCTGGTGGCTGGCTCGCTGAGGTCAACCCACCTTAGCCCTGAAAACAGCAAACGTTGCTTGGTCGATCTCCTCCCCGCAATAAAGAAGTTAGAACCTCCCCTTCTCTGCCTATATTTTGTTAATTTTGATGGCGTAGCTTCGAAAACACAAAACAGGATCCACGGCAAAGGTTAAATAGCGTTTTGGTTAAACAATATCTGTCGAATATATGAATTATTACTTTCTAATTGCGTTTCCTTCGCGTCTGCGACGATCCTCCACATCCATCGCAGAACGAGAGCTGTGCGTGTTCTGCATAACATTTTCCATTCCATCTCGAGGTAGGGTCGGCGGAAATTCTACAATCGGGGCTGATTCGTCAAAGTCTTCCGGCAAATCGTTGTGGAAGACGTTTCCTAATTCACGAAATTAAATTACGCATATGTGAAAAAATGGACTCATTAAACGTATCCACAAAAGCATAATAATAAAATATTTAATGTTTCATTTAAAACTTGTCATACTTGTGATTCGAGCATTTCTTCCTCACAGCAAAATTCGATCAAGTAACAAACATTTCCTCACTGTTTCAACCAATAGCAACTATTACAGAGACTAAGTGCCACTGAGAAATCACACCAACGATTGAATTAAACTAGTGATTAAGGAATCATGGCAAATTCCAGCAAAATAGAACAATCTGCACAGCGACCATACTGCCTCATTTCATATATCAGATCTAGGGGCAAATTATGTCCACTGAACGAATTCAACCGAGTGCCATATTTGACTGAGTCATAGTTTAACTGCTTTTATCCCCGAAAGTCATCATTTTTTGCCGGAACATATTCAGTCTTTAATATTGCTTGATGTCCCATCCTGCCTTAGGCAGCATGACAGGATTAATTGGAACTGTCTAGGGAACCTTGGAGTCTATGCTTCGATAGAGGAAGGTTCTTAGCCCTATATGGGGTGCCACTGATTTTCAGTGCAACTGAGTTCCGCCAACGGGACGGTGCACTACCTTCATATGGTGGAACCGTGACGGTACCAATCTTTTAAATATGTTCAAAGCAAACGAGTTGTGTTCTGTAGTCGCCATTCACCAAAAGAGATATTGCCAAAAGGTCCTCCAGAGTTAATGATTTTCTTGACAGTCCAAATTTTCAAAAGTCCCTTTCCATCATTGCTCGAAAAATGGAATTATTCGTTACCTTCGGAAGTAATTGAATTTAAAAAACGAGCGCCAACTATGAGTAAACAGTGAAGTTAGACGTAAGCTTTCTGACCTTGTTGATGCCATTGGCGATGTTAAATAAAGTATTAAATAATGGACATTCGCTGCGTCACAAAACAACTCAAACTCAATCACAACTGCTTTAGATGCTGCGCCAAATATGGGATTTTTATAATACCGAAATGATGAAATATGAAAATTGCTCTTCTCCTGCTGGAATGAGGGATAGGGAGTAGCGCAGGAACGCGCTTCAATGGCGCTTTCCTATACCGAAACTGTTGAATAGTGTCTGTCTGCAACAAAGGTTCGACCAGATGCTTGGATGACTCAGATGATAGTTCACGGAAGCTGACACCAAAGACGATCAGGGTCCTAACTACGCAACAGAAGAGGAGAGACGACTGGAGGATCGTCGGTTTTCATTCACAATGAGGACACGTAAAATCAACGAATTTTGCCCTGGCGAATAAATCGAGGAGAGATGCATATTAATATTTAGCGTGGTTAAGCATCATGAGTTCGTGGCTCATCGTAGTACCGCCGCAACCATAGAAAGAAATGCAAAGGGATGATGAACAATACATAGAAAAATATGCGGATATTTTCGGGGAACAAACCGCATTTCATTTAAACATACATACATACATACGTACATTCACACATACATCATACATACATACATACATACATACATACATACATACATACATACATACATACATACATACA